AATTCTCGTAATGAAGGGTGCAGTTTAATTTTCAGAACAAAATAAGCTGCGTAAGCTGCCCTACTTCTCGTACTGTTCAGAATCAGGGAAGTTGAAATTGGTTTAATATATCTTACCTCACAGCGGGGTTGTGAGGCTTAACAGTAAGTGCTTTCGAGGTCTTTTAAAAGGTGCTGTAAAGGTGCATATTACTGAAAGGGATTTGTTTTTTTTCTTTGAAATGCCTGCAAGACATACTTGTTTTATTGAATTTTAAAATATTCTTAGCCTGCTATTCTTCTGTTACTCTGTTTTGAGTTACCTTCCTTGCACTTTTACAAATGGGGAGCAAGAATGTGCATCTTCGGACTGAGGCAGAAATAAACCCACTTTCCAAGTGGAACCTAAGATACAGTTTTAAAGGCCGCCATTCGTTAAGGCATCTGGCTAAACTCCTGGTGCAGCAAAAACTTCTTTTCTATCAAAAGCACGTTTCACTGAAGTTCTCAGCAGAGGCTCCCAGTTGGACCTTGAAATAAGGAGGGTCTTATTGAAGAAGGAACATAATTACATAAGTGCTTTGCTGAACTGAGGCATGAATAATTAAGTATAAAGAATAGAATCACCAAGAGCGCTAAGGACCAGGTTTCTTTTTAATTCAGTATTAAAATACACATTAGCACTGTTGGGAGTTTCCTATAGAAAGCCACTTAGCTTCTAGTGTTAAACCCCACTTTGCTTTTAGCCTATCATTAGAAAAAAAACCCCAACAAAACAAAACCCAACATTAAACCCAGCCCTCTAGAAGCTTATAAACCTAAAGAAATACCTGACAGTTCAAAGGAACTTGAAGATTACACTGTGTTATAACTACTTGAGATGAAATACTGTCTAGAAATGAGACCAAGAGACTGTCAATCCTAAGTTGTATTCTCAGCTTTCACACTGAAGCGGTGAGACGCCTTGGACAAGGAGCTGATCCTCACCATTTGCCATCCGTAAAATGGACATAATACCTACCTCAGAGAGGTGTACAAGGTGACTATCTTTGGGTGTCTTTGAAACAGAAGTGGAAGATACATATTTATTGTCTGCCATGTTTGCAAATGCATTGACTTTGGGGAGCAACACTTAGATTTTAGCTTTTTATCCTGGATGGATTTCTGAAAGTGTGTAAAAATATTTTTTTGGTATTTCTCACTTGCAGTATTTTTAAAATTAGCTTTATTTAATCCAGAGTGTTTAGCTTTGCTCTATCATGTTTGCATTGGAAATCTGCTAACAGAGAATCAGTTCCGTTTGAGGGAAATGTGTCAATATCACTACTTGGATGTTTTCTTTCGTTGCCTAGAAAATAAAATCTCTTTGGTTGAAAATGTCAGCTGAACTGCTGTAATTCATCTTTGTAAAAGTTGGTACTGTTACCCGCCCACAAACTCATTCGAAGAGCAAGTAACCTGTGGCATTGACCGTGAGCTGGAAAACCTTACGTGATTCTCCTGGACTCTCCCAAACAGAAAGCATCGACATTATTTAAAATTAAGATATGGATACATTTAAATTGCAACCCCCTTTTTGCTAAATGTCATAAATGTTGGGGGGGGGGTGTGTTAATATCTTTTTACCAGCATTTGCCTGCCCTTAATGATACAATTGCGGAAGTATCACAAAAATGGCAGCCTGGTACTAGTAGGATGAACTTCTGAACATCACTACTACATTTGCAGTGAACTGTTAGTAATTGTACAGCAAGATGTTACTTACAGGTATTTTAGAACAGGGGTGTTGTGGGACGTGGGCTCGGGTACTGGCAGGGAGTAACGTCGCTTGTCCAGACCAATCCAGAGAGCCTGTAAGATACGGCCTTACGGCCTTACCGTTACTCCTATTCCCATTCACATTTAAAATGAGCACTCGTTTCCTTGCTGAATGCTTCAGCACAGAGGTCAGTAACTAAATGGGCCCTGGAAATTTTTGCCTCGGAGGTGTGCTTACTAAAAGCTGGGTTATTGGTGGTGTTTTACCAATCTATGCAGTTCTGGATCTTGAATTTAAATAAAGAATTCTGGTTTCCTGGTGCCAGTCTGGCCGTTTCACCAGCGCTAAATTCCTTCTTTAATTAAAGAAGAGCCTAACACACTCTAATCACCTGGCCTTTCACAAACACGTTATATCGTACGAAGTGATACACATCTCGTGGTTGTAGCAGCGCTTTAAAAGCTTGTCCGAGTTTACATGTTGAGCAGATGCTGAGCAAGGAGTTTCACCGATGCAGGCAGCGCGTGTTCCCATCGCAGTAAAACGAGCGGCGTTAGCAAATGTTTCTAGAAATCTTCGTCACCAATGTAATCCCGTGGCATAGCGTTCTGGTTTGTGTATCATCAGTACAGACCAGTTGCTATAACACGTTTCCTTAAACGCGTGCCCTGAATTGCAAAAACTGTTGATTTTTTATTCACCAATAAACGTGACTGATGCGTGCATGCTTGTTCGGTGTAGTCTGTGCCTCAGTTCTTGAATTTCGGCTTTGTGCTCTAGCCGCTGCTGTTCACCAATGCGTTTTCCAGGTCTTCGCGTCTGTGCAAGGCAGCCTGTGAGCAGTTTGCATCAGCTTTCCCTCTGCCTCATTCCCTTTTTTCCTTGACTCCACGAGACAGTCCTGGCGGGAGAGGGACGGGGCCTCGCAACCTGTGCGGGATGAAGCTTCTTCACTTTCAACTTGTTCAACAATAACTTTTTTTTCCATACTAAAATATTTCCTCTGTGTAATTAGAGTCAGGTATCAAGAGGAACAACTGTAAAGGGGGTTTTACATACCTCCAGAATCTTTTATGCATTTAAATATATAAAACATGAAGCAGACAGAC